ATGAAGCTGTGCGTTTGGATTCCTGCGGGAGCCAGTGTGACACTTAGAGCTTCCCATCATCTCTTGCACTGTCATTGAAGCTGTAACCAACAAAAGCTGGCTCCAGGGTGAGCATAACTTGGTGATGTTTTCCTGGGCGTATGTTGGGCAGATATCCATTGCAGCTTGTGTGATGGAACACCATCGAACGTACCAGTCAACAGCAAACTATGCAGCCTGGTGCCTGAGCTGTCAGACTGTGTCTGCAGCGTTTGCAGCTGAAGGAGACGCTGCCAGGACCTCGCTCGCCCAGCGTTGTACCCAAGGCAAGAGCAGGGAACAGCAGCATGGCTGAGTTAAGGTGCGGAAAGAAGGAAGGTAACAAATGTGGATTCATCAGGCGGCGTGTGGTGCTGCTGTGGGGGACTTGTAATGGAAAACACTTGGGTCACGTCGAGGTTAAAGCAAGTCCTAGTGATGGTGCGTCTGAGCTGTGCGTGGGTCTTGTGCAGCCTTGGGAACCTGGGGCATGTCCTGGTTTCCTCAGCTCTCGCTGAACCCTGTTGTCTCGGGAGCATCCTGCTCTGCAGCGGCCCCATGGAGCTGGTGGCAAGGCTGGAAGAGGGCTGCAGATCGCCCGGCACAGAGCAGAGCAGGGAGGTCCTTCTCCTCTACGCAGGCACATGGCATCACTGGTTGCCCACATCCCTGCAAGCTCTGCATGGGCTCACCCAAGCCTGTGCCTGCAGCGCACGCTCTGCCACATGCGCCCCAGCGAGGGAGACGTGGAGGAGAAAGTGTTAATGTCCCTTCCCACAGTAAACCTCTCTGCATGGGGGGTCCTGAAACCTGAGCCTCTCTCTCCTCCCCCAGCCCTGACACACATTAATAAAAGGTTTTTAAACGCCAATAAAAAGGCAGCAGCCCCAGCTCACCAGGTCCGGGGCCCAGGGTCCTTGGGAAGGCACTTCACAAATGTGTTTTTTGCATTTTCAGGCTTTTGGCTGGTGAATAAGATTGAGGAGAAATACTCCTTCCCCTGATAACAATACAGTGAGACGCAGGATCAGCAGTGTGTGGATTAAAACCAGACGGTGCATGATTAATACATATGCTTATAGGGCTAGTCACTGTGGTTCCCTCCTCTCAAACAGAAAGGCACTTTTTTTCCCCTCATGTGCATGCTCATGTGTGGAGT